GAGGCGGGGGGCGGCAAGCCGAGTCCGCGGCGGCCGAAGCGCCGCTCAGATGCCATGCCGTTCTTGCACGCAAACCGGTCCGCAGCGGAACTGGAGCTGGCGGAGCAGGTGGCGGAGCTGGAGCGGCGCCCCCTTGTGAGCAAGGCCACAGAACTGGCGGAGCAGGTGGCGCACGAGCTGGCGGAGCAGGTGGCGGAGCTGGAGGCCACGCTCAGGGAGAAGATTGAGGAGGCCACGCTCAGGGAGAAGATTGAGGAGGCCACGCTGAGGGAGAAGACTGTGGAGGCCACGCTGAGGGAGAAGATTGCGGCGCTCTCCAGGGAGCTTGCCCAGATTGAGACCGCCACCGACGAAAGCCCCCCACCCGAGGAGGGGCGGCCGGAAGATGGGAAGGAGGGTCGCGGGCCACGCGGCGCGGCGGGGCGAGCCGACATGACCGAAGAGCGCGAGGGGGCGGAGCAGCCGGAGGTGGTGAGGCGCTCGATGTCGCCCCTCGTCGAGCCGACGCCGGAGCCCCGCCTGACGCCCATTCTCGTCGACGACAGCAGCTCTGCTCTGGTGGCGATCGCAGAGGCGGGCATCGCGCCGCTGGTGGCGCTGGCTCGCGACGGCACGGAGGCGCAGAAGGAGGAGGCCGCGGCGGCGTTGGCGGTGCTCGCCGCCAACGACGCCAACGAGCTGGCTATCGCGGAGGCGGGCGGCATCGCGCCGCTGGTGGCGCTGGCTCGCGACGGCACGGAGGCGCAGAAGGAGAATGCCGCGGGGGCGCTGCGCAACCTCGCTGCCAACGACGCCAACAAGGTGGCGATCGCGGAGGCGGGCGGCATTGCTCCGCTCGTGGCGCTGGCTCGCGACGGCACGGAGGCGCAGAAGGAGGAGGCCGCGGCGGCGTTGGCGGTCCTCGCCGTCAACGATGCCAACAAGGCGGCGATCGCGAGGGAGGGCGGCATCGCGCCGCTGCGCGCTGGTGTGGCAGTGGCCCGCGATGAACTCGCCTAGAGGGTAGAGCCGCATGACGTACCCAACGGGGACGCCACCACCCTCGCCCAGCGATCTACAATGCTGTCTGAACCCTTTTGCTTCCATACGTAACGTTCATGGTGAACAAATCCCGATATATCGTCCAGTCGTAGCGGTGAAACTTTAGAGGCCGCCAGCACGGTCGGCGGCGCCGACAGGTTTGGTGCAGAGGGGACCGGCGGTGGCGACGGCGGCATGGCGTGCAGCAAGACGTCATACTCGCCGCCCTACACGCCCTCGGCGCGCGCCCCTCCGCCCTGCCGGAGATTCATTTCTTACTGGGCGGGGTGCGCACTGCGCGCCGCGAGGATGAGGAGCCTGAGCCAGGGGAGGGTTGGAAAGGGGGGGCGAGGCCGGAGGTGTATGACGGCCTCTTCGACGGCCCATAAGGGGCCGTTGTCTGCTGTGCCTTTTGTGGTGCTAGTTCGTGCCAGTCCGCTAAAGAAAGAAAGAAAGAAAACAGACAACCCAAGGGAGGGATGGGAGGACGGCACGCCGCCACCACACAGGGATTTTAAGGAGACGTGTGTGGTGCGCTAGCCGTCGCCCACCCTAGGGAGTCTGCCTCTTCCTATCTCTCTTCGCAGTCTCTCTCCGATTCTCGCTGCAACCTTCATGCCACCTCGCGGTCGTCCCACTCTCGTCGTTCTCTCCCTTGTCATTTCCTCCTCTGTCGCGTCGTTCCCTTCTGCCTCGTCCTGTGACGCCGCCGCCGGCCGGTCCCTTGTTCTCGCGGCTTCTTTCGAGCCAGTCCCCGCGGAGAGGGAATTTTTTTCGGCAGAATTCTACTGGCGCCCGCCTAACTCTTGGGGCGCCCGCCTAACTCTTGGGGGGGGCCTGCCCGCTCAGGGCATGCACTCGCCCAAGAAGCGGGCCAAGAAGCCCTCGCTCGACTCGCCGCTCTCCGGCCCCGGCCGCCTCTGCCAGCCCCACCTGCTCAGCATCTTCATCGCCTTCCTCGCGGCCGTCGGCATGGGCGGCGGCGGCGCAGCCGCACTCCTCTTCAAGGGCCTGCCTGCCGCGGCGGCTCTGCCTCCGCCGCCCTCTCCGCCTCTTCTACCCGACATGGTGCAGCTGGGCTGCGATTTCGAGGTCGACACTTGCGTCTGGACCGATCCCACGCCGGACGGGTACTCTTGGACCCGCACGAGAGGCAGCACTCCAACGGCATACACAGGCCCGAGCGGCGACCACACCACCGGCTCGGGCTACTACGTATACACCGAGGCGGACCCGTGGACCTTCTACCGGCTCAAGAGCCCACCCTTCTCGCTCCAGCAGGACGCCACCCTCTCCTTCTTCTACCACATGTACGAAGGAGGCAGCGCCAACAGCATGGGCACCCTCTCCGTCGAGGCGCACGAGGACGGCAGCGGATGGTCGACGCTCTGGAGCAGGACTGGGAACCAGGGCAACGCCTGGCTCGGCGCGTCGGTCGTCTTGCCCGCCTCCACGACTCAGGTGTGCTTCAACGGCCGGACGCGGAAGGGAACCGGCTTTGGTTGGGCGAGGTCGGACATGGCGCTGGACGACGTCTCCTTCTCGCAGTTTGCGCCTCCGTCCACGCCGCCGTCGCCGCCGCCGCCGCCGCCGTCGCCGCCGTCGCCGCCGTCGCCGCCACCCATCCCGCCCTTCCCCCCGGGAGATGCACCCCTCCCGCCGCCTGGGGCGCCGCCATCCGCGCCTCCCCAGTCCCCTCCGTCCACGCCGCCGCCCCCCTCCGCCTCGCCCTCTCCGCCGCCCTCTGAGTCGCCGTCGCCGCCGCCTCCGTCGGCCTCGCCCTCTCCGCCGCCCTCTGAGTCGCCGTCGCCGCCGCCTCCGTCGGCCTCGCCCTCTCCGCCGCCTCCCTCCGCCTTGCCTGCGCCGCCGCCGTCCGCCTCGCCCTCTCCGCCGCCTCCCTCCGCCTTGCCTGCGCCGCCCCCCTCCGCCTCGCCCTCTCCGCCGCCCTCTGAGTCGCCTTCGCCGCCGCCTCCGTCGGCCTCGCCCTCTCCGCCGCCCTCTGAGTCGCCGTCGCCGCCGCCTCCGTCGGCCTCGCCCTCTCCGCCGCCTCCCTCCGCCTTGCCTGCGCCGCCGCCGTCCGCCTCGCCCTCTCCGCCGCCGCCGTCCGCCTCGCCGTCGCCGCCGCTGCCGCCGGCCCCCCCGCCGCCGCCGCCCGCCTCGCCCTCTCCGTCGCCGCCGCCGCCTCTGCCGCCGCCTCCCTCCGCCTTGCCTGCGCCGCCACCGTCCGCCTCGCCCTCTCCGCCGCCGCCGTCCGCCTCGCTGTCGCCGCCGCCGCCTCTGCCGCCGCCTCCCTCCGCCTTGCCTGCGCCGCCGCCGTCCGCCTCGCCCTCGCCGCCGCCGCTGTCCGCGTCGCCCTCGCCGGCTGCCGCCGCGGCGGCGGCACATGACCCGTCCTTTCACCTGCTGAGCACTGCGGGTGCAACCACCCTACAAGACACCGCCCAAAACGACCCATCGAAAAAAGAAAAAAAAAAAAAAGAACTAAAAAACCACACACCCAAAAAGAAAAAAATAAGAAAAATGAAAAAAAAGCAAGAAAAAAAAAACAACACCAAAAAAAAAAAAAATACAAGCGAAAGAAAATTACAAAAAAAAAAAGAAAAAAACAAAAAACAAATAATAACACAAAAAAAA